CATGGACGCTCCACTCTAGGTCAGTATCAGCTTTCGACCATGTTTACGCAGACCATTTATCTTGAGAGATTTACCATGGACGCTCCACTCTAGGTCAGTATCAGCTTTCGACCATGTTTAAGCAGACCATTTATCTTGAGAGATTTACCATGGACGCTCCACTCTAGGTCAGTATCAGCTTTCGACCATGTTTAAGCAGAACAAAATCTACCGAAGCTGCATCATGTTAAGTGTTTTAACAGGCTTGTTGTTATTACAATTTCTTCGGCCAGCTTACTCTTGAAAACAACCGTTGACTTCTATGTGTCGCTAGAATTTTGTACATTTTTGGCTTGTAAGCCTTCGTCAAACTCAAATCCTTGTTTACCGATTATCTTAATGTATCAGGAGAATGTTTTGTTTGGGTTTTAATTTCGCGCAAAGCTAGTATCTATCAGGAGATAATCCCAAATTCATCACAATGACCTTCTGAATCAGGACCGATTCTCTTTCGTAGCCACATCCTCCACTTTACAGATTCGGGCATTGCTCCGGATTAGTGTGTGGTTATGAGACCATTAATGTCCTAAATCTGCTGTGGGAATTTTCATACTTACTTAGATAAGATTAAAAGCACTATTTTTCGAAATGTTGTGCCCTGTATTGTTTTATAATCTCGCTACATGAACATTTTTACTCGGAAAGTAATGTGACGTATTTTCTCTACCCCTGAAGGTCATTGAATGGTCGAGAATACTTTATGAACAATGAACCACATACACATGCATTAAAGGTATGACTTTTAGAAACACCTCTATCACCCCCACCCAGTGGCTCAGCGTTAATTCTGTGAGCGTATAACGCCAAGAATATGATGGATAAGCAAAGATTTACCCTTTTGTAATTTCGTACTTAAAACACAAACTCATCTGCAACAACAGATCACTGCATTAGCAATGATTATAAAATGTAATAACCTTCTGTATCAGTGTTAACCACACTAGCTTAATCTGGTTTCTGTCAGTGATATACACCATATATAATTGTTATTGTTATAGTACGGTTGTTAGTTTTGTATAGACTCACCCTGCCTTGTTTCTCGAATGGGACGATGTTTGGTTTCTATGCTGACGCCTTTAGTTTGAAAAATAACATTATGATACCGCGTAAATATGAAAAGATAATCCAAAGTAAAATAACGCCAGCTCATTTTTTTATATAGAAATAGGATGTAGTGAAAAATAGAATTTTATATTTCGTGAAATGATTTCCCTTTTTAGTCCTCCAGTTTCTAACTTAAATTTGTTAAGTGTGTTTAAGATACATCCTGATGAAAATTGAATGTTCCACTCGTTTTTACTCGTGTAAAGCTATTACCTTGGTTAACTGGTTTCGCCACAAATCTCTGTGATTGTGCTAACCTGTGTTACATTATTTGAAAACTACAGTTAACGTAGCGAATTAATAAAAAATGACTCTTATGATAACATAGGTACAAATTAAACAGAGCTCGGCATGACCAGGTGGTTAGGGCACTCGGCTCGCAGTCTGCAGGCCACGGGTTCGAATCCCCGTCACACCAAACATGCTCACCCTTTCAGCCATGGGGGCGTTGTAATCCCACTATTCGTTGGTAAAAGAGTAG